TTCTGCACCGCTGTGCAGGCTCGAGCTATATTTTGTTCTGTTCATTCAAACTCATCTGCGTGTTTTCAGTGATGGACGACGAGCCGACGTCGTCGCATCGACCGGGCGACTCGGCGGCATCGCGTCGCATGTGCGGGTCGGCTGACTCGACGGCGAGCGACAGCGACACGGCCGACGATGCTCCTCTCTTGGCCAGCGGCAGCCAAACGGTCCGAATCGACATGCCCGCTTCGGAAAAGCCAGCGTCACCTCATGACCGATTTCCGAAGGAACGCTCAAAAGCGCTGGTGAGTGATCAGTTTCTTCCAGTGATCTCACCATTTTCTTCTTGCTTCATATGTAAGTCGTAAATATTTTTCCATCTTATATTTTATGTACTCCCTAAAAATTAAATGATTCAGAATTCTTTTTTGTTCAGATTAAGATAAATAACTCCAGAATGAATTCATTCTCTCGCACCTTTGTCAGTTTCGAAGAGCGTCCCATTGATATTTATTTACTTATTTATATAGTTTTTTGAACTAATTCGCTCGAATCTGCCCTATGTACCTTATTTGAGTGAGATCACCACATCAATTCAATCTTGAACCTTGCCTTGAGGTTGAAAGCTTGCTCACTTTCCTAATGCAGCTGCGCAATGGCAGTGAGAAACTGGGCGCGGAGAGGGAGTATGAGACGAAAGAGAAACGGATGAGAGGGTGCCAGACACAGCCTGAGACGGACGGGGAAAATTGAAGCTGTTGAAGCTATCTTTGCAAGGCCCTAGCGCTCTTGTCGGGCGATTTTCATGCACGGGAGTGCCACATCTGTGATTGTCCTCTAGAGTCTACCTACAGACCAAAGGAGTCACAGCCTGCTGCGGACGGGGAAAATTGAAGCTGTTGCAGCTATCTTTGCAAGGCCTTAGCGCTCTTGTCGGCCAATTTTCATGCACGGAAGTGCCACATCTGTGATTGTCCTCTAGGAGTCTTACCTACAGACCCAAAGGAGTCGTTTGCACGGGTTCTGCCTGGATCATGACGTCAAGCCTGAGCATCAGCGGTTATCACAAGTTCAGCAACCATTCGGAGAGCCTTTTGTAGTCCGACTGCCCAATTGTGTGTGCTACCGTACTTCATCTTCAAGCGCCTGCTAAAGTTGGGTGACC